TTCATGGCTATCATATCTCCTCTCAGCCTTCTCTTCTTCAGGCTAAATATGCCCAGCTCCTTAAGCCGCTCCTCATAGGGCTTGTTCTCCAGACCATTCTTGGACTCCAAAATTTATTCCTTCTCACAAGGTTTCTATGCCTTCCAAAGAGTTGTGAAAGCTACATGGCTTTCCCAATGCTGTTACATTGCATCTTTCACTGTGCAAATCCACTTATTTCATTTATTTATTTATTTACGACATTTATATGCCGCCTTTCTCACCCTGAAGAGGACTCAGAGCGGCTTACAAATATATATATATACACACGCACACACACACAATATATTATATTATTAGCATAGCACAATATCAGTACTATATATTACTATATTGTACTGTACCATTATATTGCAATATTATTAGTAATATTACATGTAATATAAAAATATAATTATAATTTATTATTATATTATATTTGTTACAATATTATCAGTATTATATTATATTATATACAATACATTATATTATTAGCATAATACAATATCAGTATTAAATATTACTATATTGTACTATACCATTATATTGTAATATTATTTGTAATATTACATGTAATATAAATATATAATTATAATATCATATTATTATTATTATTAGTAGTATTATATAGCATTATATTGTAATATTATTAGTAATATTAGATGTAATATAAAATATATAATTATAATATCATATTATTATTATATTGCATTACATTACATTACATTGTATTATACCATTATATTGTAATATTATTAGTAATATAAATATATAATTATAATATATTATTATTAGTAGTAGTATTAGTATTATATTGCATTACATTACATTACATTGTATATGAACTGTAATGTAATATCTCATATGCAGGATGTATTTTCATTCACTGGAACAAATTTAGCACAAATATCCCATACGCCCAAATTTCAATATTGGTGGGGCTGGGGGAGGATTGGTTTTGTCGTTTGGAAGTTGTAGTTGCTTGGATTTATAGTTAACTCCACCAACGATGGAATTGAACCAAACTTGGAACTGAACACACACAGAACTCCCTGACCAACAAAAAATGCTGAAGGGTTTGGTGGGCATTGACCTTGAATTTGGGAGTTGTAGTTCACCTACATCCAGAGAACACTGTGGATTCAAACAATAATGGATCTGGACCAAACTTGGCACAAGCACTCAATATGCCCAAATATGAACACAGATTGAGTTTGGAATCTTGACATTTGGGAATTGTAGTTGCTGGGATTTATAGTTCACCTACAGTCACAGAGCATTCTGAATCCCACCAATGATAGAATTGGGCAAAACAGAACTTCCATGTGGGCCACAGCAATGCATGTCAGGAGACGGCTAGTATAATATTAATAATAATATTGCAATATAGTGGTAAAGTACTATATAGTAATATATAGTACTAATATTGTGCTGTGCTAATAATGTATTGCATTCGGGGTGAGAATGACGGCATAGAAATGTCGTAAATAAATAAATATTTAAATTATAATTCAGAACAGTAGCAAAATTACAGTTACGAAGGAGCCACTAAAATAATTTTATGGTTGGGAGTCACCACAACATGAGGAACTATATTAAGAAATCGCGGCATTGTGTGTGTGTGTGTATGTGTGTGATATATATATGTAGAGAGAGAGAGAGAGAGAGGGAGAGGTGTGTATGTATAGGAAGGTTGGGAAGGCTAGATGGCTATCTGTTGGGAGGGCTTTGATGGTGCCTTCCTGCAGAATGGGGTTAGACTGGATGGCCTTTGAGGGTCTCTTCCAACTCTATGTCTATCTGGCTCTACTCACATGCTCCGAATGGCGCCTCCGTGGCACCAACAAGGGTCCTGCGGTGCGGATCACGCGTGGACGGACTCCGGGGCCGTAGTGTGGGCAGGGATAGGGCCGAGGGTAGGGTGGGATCCCAGGCGAGGCACCCATGATGGTGGGCTGGACCATCCACTGGAGGTTATGGCTGGTGGCGATGGTGTTGAGGTTGGGGACGAAGCCGCTGGGACCACTGCTGCTGCTCCCAGCCCCGGGGTCTGAGTGGTACTTCTGGGTAGGAGAGAAAACAACGTGCTTTATTTACAATGTTTATATTCCACCACGGGTCACAGAAAACATATATGGCAAACGTTTAATGCGGTCATACACTGACAAGACAGGCAACTGTACATAGATAGAGGTATATATAGGCTTTCCCATCTTCAGCATCTTGGAGGCTGTGCTCAATTCCGGCCACAAGGGGGTGCTGTCGCTCCACTTTCTCTGCCAAAGAGCTTTTGTTTGTAAACTTCCTTCTTGGTAGAATCCCCAGCATTTTTCTGGCATTTCCTTATGGGTGCCTTAAATACCTCCCTAGAATCATAGAATCATAGAATCAAAGAGTTGGAAGAGACCTCATGGGCCATCCAGTCCAACCCCATTCTGCCAAGAAGCAGGAACCTATTTATCTACTCACATTGCTGTTTTAGAAACTGCTAGGTAGGCAGAAGCTGGGCTAAAGGCCAGGAGTTCACCCTGACCTGCGCGCTGAACTGACAACCTTCCAACAGGCAAGGTTTACTGCAGCTGGTGGTTAATCTGCTGTGCTAAAGCCCAGCCCATTGCCAGTGAAACAGTCAGTGAATATAGGAAACCAAAGTTCCTCTGGATCTAATGGTTGTTCAGCTTCTGCCTTGCCAATCTGATTACTCTGCTTGACAAATTCATTTCTGTCTCACCACACCTGGGATATTTCTGCTGCCCAGGAGACTAGGATACAATGGAGCAATGGCTTCAAACTACAAGAAAGGAAATTCCATCTGAACATGAGGAAGAACTTCCTGACTGTGAGAGCCGTTCAGCAGTGGAACTCTCTGCCCCGGAGTGTGGTGGAGGCTCCTTCTTTGGAAGCTTTTAAGCAGAGGCTGGATGGCCATCTGTCAGGGTGCTTTGAATGCAATTTTCCTGTTCTTGGCAGAATGGGGTTGGACTGGATGGCCCATGAGGTCTCTTCCAACTCTAGGATTCTATGATTCTATGAATATAGGAAACTAACGTCCATCTGGATCTAATGGTTGAACATCCTTGTAGTAAGAGCTGTTTGGCAGTGGGATATGCTACCTTGGAGGTCAATGGAGTCCCCTTCTCTGGGGTATTTTAAAGCACAAGCTGGATGGCTATCTGTTGGGAGGGTTTTGATGGTGTCTCCTTGGCAGAAATGGGTTGGGTTGGATGGCTCTTGATGTCCCTTCTAACTTTAGGATTCTATAATAATAATATTTGATAATCATGACGAGAGAGTCACCTTCTCTAGAGATTTGTAAGCAGAATTTGGCTGGATGACCATCTGTTGGGAGGACTCTGATGGTGTCTCCTTGGCAGAAGTGGGTTGGGTTGGACGGCTCTTGGAGTCCCTCCCAGCTCTAGGATTCTATAATAATAATCTTTGATAATCATGACGACAGTTTGGCTGGATGGCCATCTCTTGGGAAGGCTTTGATGGTGTCTCCTTGGCAGGAGTGGGTTGGGTTGGATGGCTCTTGGAGTCCCTTCCAACTCTAGGATTCTATAATAACAATCTTTGATCATAACGATGGCAGAGTCGCCTTCTCTAGAGATTTGTACGCAGAATTTGGCTGGATGGCCATCTCTTGGGAAGGCTTTGATGGTGTCTCCTTGGGAGAAGTGGGTTGGATTGGATGGCTATTTGAGACCCTTCCAACTCTAGGATTCTATAATAACAATCTTTGATCATAACGATGGCAGAGTCGCCTTCTCTAGAGATTTGTACGCAGAATTTGGCTGGATGGCCATCTCTTGGGAAGGCTTTGATGGTGTCTCCTTGGCAGGAGTGGGTTGGGTTGGATGGCTCTTGGAGTCCCTTCCAACTCTAGGATTCTATAATAACAATCTTTGATCATAACGATGGCAGAGTCGCCTTCTCTAGAGATTTGTACGCAGAATTTGGCTGGATGGCCATCTCTTGGGAAGGCTTTGATGGTGTCTCCTTGGGAGAAGTGGGTTGGATTGGATGGCTATTTGAGACCCTTCCAACTCTAGGATTCTATAATAACAATCTTTGATCATAACGATGGCAGAGTTGCCTTCTCTGGAGATTTGTAAGCAGAATTTGGCTGGCCATCTGCCGGGAGGTCTTTGATTGTGTTTTTCTGAATTAGAGAAGAGATTTGGACTGGAATGCCTTTGGGGCCTCCACCATGAGCAAAGGCATTATTATTATTATTATTATTATTATTATTATTATTATGGGACCAAAGTTTTACAAAGTTCCTTCCAAAGTGAATGATTGATGGCGAAGCTCCAAGACCAGAAGGCGATGTGCCTTCTCCGCCAGGGCTTGCACTCAATGCCCTTTCCCTTATCCCTTGACCTAGTTCCCTTTGGTATCCACAGCCCTGCCCTTGGGCACCTGGGCACACCTTGCTGGTCACCTGCGTGGGACGTTGGCGTCACTTTGCTCGATTCTCAGGGCGAGGCATTGAAAATCAGACCAAAATAGGCTCGCCAAGATCTCTGGCTAACGGTGACCCCGAGGAAAACCTGGCCCTGGGATTTCATTGGCAAGGTTTTGCCTTTGCCCTTCTCCCAAGCCTTGCCAAAGGTCAGATATCCTGTGTCCCAACCCTCAAACCATTGGCTCTCAGTGTGGCTTTGGACCACAGCACCCATCATCCTAAGTGTATGGCTACGATGGCTGAGGCTGTTAGGATCCCCCCCCCCCCAAAAAAAAGAGAAACCACATGGTCTAGACCAGGCATGGGCAAACTTCAGCCCTCCAGGTGTTTTGGACTTCAACTCCCACAATTCCGAACACACTACCGGCTGTATATCCATATATACCCATGTATATATGTATGTGTGTGTGTGTATATATACATGTGTATATATGTATATGTATATGTATATATGTGTGTGTGTGTGTTTGTGTATATGTATGTGTACATGTGTTTATGTATGTACTCTGTGTGTGTGTATATGTGATATATATATATATATATATATATATATATATATGAGAGAGAGAGAGGTATGTATGTGTGTATAGTATATATGTATGCAAATATAGTAAGAATAAAGTAACATTGATGGATAAAGATGGATGGATGGCATCCTTGAAGTGACTGGATTGATCTTGAAGGAGCTGGGGGTGGTGATGTCTGACAGGGAGCTCTGGCATGGGCTGGTCCATGAGGTCACCTAGAGAAGAGAATGATGCTGGGGGAAATGGAAGGAAAAAGGAAGAGGGGCCGACCAAGGGCAAGATGGATGGATGGCATCCTTGAAGTGACTGGCTTGACCTTGAAGGAGCTGGGGGTGGTGATGGCCAACAGGGAGCTCTGGCCTGGGCTGGTCCATGAGGTCACCTAGAGAAGACAATGATGCTGGGGAAAATGGAAGGAAAAAGGAAGAGGGGCCGACCAAGGGCAAGATGGATGGATGGCATCCTTGAAGTGACTGGATGACCTTGAAGGAGCTGGGGGTGGTGATGGCCAACAGGGAGCTCTGGCGTGGGCTGGTCCATGAGGTCACCAAGAGTCGGAGACGACTGAACGAATGAACAACAACAAATGCTTGATGAAGCAACCTGGATGCCATCATGTTGAAGTGACTGGCTTGACTGAAGGAGCTGGGGGTGGTGATGGCCAACAGGGGGCTGTGGCGTGGGCTGGTCCATGAGGTCACTAGAGAAGACAATGATGCTGGGGGAAATGGAAGGAAAAAGGAAGAGGGGCCGACCAAGGGCAAGAAGGATAGATGGCATCCTTGAAGTGACTGGCTTGACTCTGAAGGAGCTGGGGGTGGTGACGGCCGACAGGGAGCTGTGGCGTGGACTGGTCATGGGGTCACCTAGAGAAGACAATGATGCTGGGGGAAATGGAAGGAAAAAGGAAGAGGGGCGGACCAAGGGCAAGATGGATGGATGGCATCCTTGAAGTGACTAGCTTGACTCTGAAGGAGCTGGGGGTGGTGACGGCCGACAGGGAGCCCTGGACATTAATCCACAGATTAATGTCCAGGGTGGGAGAAAGAACCCTTGTCTGTGTAAAGCAAGTGTGAATGTTGCAATTATCAAGCTTGAATAGCACTGAGTAGCCATGAAGCTGCAAAGTCAATCAGTGAGGGTATCTGCATAGAGCAGTGTTTCTCAACCTGGGGGTCGGGACCCCTGGGGGGGTTGCGAAGGTGTGTCAGAGGGGTCACCAAAGACCATCAGAAAACACAGTATTTTCTGTGGTCATGGAGGTTCTATGTGGGAACTTTGGCCCAATTCTTTCATTGGTGGGGTTCAGAACGCTCCTTGATTGTAGGTGATCTATACATCCCAGCAAGTACAACTCCCAAATGTCAAAGTCTATTTTCCCCAAACCCCATCAGTTTTCACATTTGGGCATATTGAGTATCCGTTCCAACTTTAGTCCAGATCCATCATTGTTTGAGCCCACAGTGCTCTCTGGATGTAAGTGAACTACAACTCTCAAACTCAAGGTCAATGCCTGTCTAACTGTTCCAGTATTTTCTGTTGGTCATGGGAGTTCTGTGTGCCAACTTTGGTTCAATTCCATCATTGATGGAGTCCAGAATGCTCTTTGATTGTAGGTGTACTATAAATCCCATCAACTACAACTTCCAAATGTCAAAATCAATTCCTCCCCAACCCCACCAGTATTCAAATTGGGGCATACCGGGTATTTGAGCCAAATTTGGTCCAGTGAATGAAAATACATCCTGCATATTAGATATTTACATTACAATTAATAACAAGCTGCAAAATTATAGTTATGAAGTAGCAACAAAAATAGTTTTATGGTTGGGGGTCACCACAACATGATGAACTGTATTAAGGGGTCATGGCATTAGGAAGGTTGAGAAACACTGGTGTAAAGCAAGTGTGAATGTTGCAACTATCAAGCTTGAATAGCACTGAGTAGCCATGAAGCTGCAAAGTCAATCAGTGAGGGTATCTGCATAGAGGTAGCCTGGCTGTTGTTGCCTGAGGGCACCCTCTGCTTGAGAGGTTGATTGTTTGCTGTCAGAGGGACTGCAAAGGACCCAAAAGGAGTATGGCCCCTCTGACACAACCCTAAGGATGGCATGTGGCCCTCGGGAGGAGAAGGCGGGCCCTGTTCCCAGGTATGTTACATCAGAAGGCAGGAGAGGTGAGCTTGCCCTGGGAACCAAATCCCCAAAAGCCACCGGCTGCTGACTTGGGTCTGACGCTTGCTCTTGATGAGTCACTTTGGGATGACACAGCCCTGGGATGACACAGCAAGAACAGCACAGCCCCTCCCATCCTGTCGCAGGAGGTCAACTCTAAAGGCACCGGATGCCTTCCTTCTGATCCCGAGAGCTAAGCAGGGCCGGCCTTGGTTGGGACTTGGAGGGGAGTCCGACAACAAAGCCTAGATCCCAGAGGCTTTTTTCCCCCAAAGCCTTAAAGTGCCAGAAAGGGGTCACCAAGCAAACCCTGGGACCTTCCGTCTCATAGAATCATAGAATCAAAGAGTTGGGAGAGACCTCATGGGCCATCCAGTCCAACCCCATTCTGCCAAGAAGCAGGAATATTGCATTCAAATCACCCGACAGATGGCCATCCAGACTCTGTTTAAAAGCTTCCAAAGAAGGGGCCTACCACACTCTGGGGCAGAGAGTTCCACTGCTGAACAGCTCTTACAGTCAGGAAGTTCTTCCTAATGTTCAGGTAGAATCTCCTTTCCTGTAATTTGAACACATTGTTTTGAGTCCTAGTTTCCAGGGCAGCATAAAAAACAAGTCTGCTCCCCCTTCCTTATGACATCATTCAAATATTTAAACATGGCTATCATGCCCCTTTTCAGCCTTCTCTTTTACAGGCTAAATATACCCAGCTCTTTAAGCTGCTCCTCAAAGCTTTCAAGACCATTGATCATTTTTGTCACCGTCCTCTGAAAACATTCCAGCTTGTCAATATCCCTCTTGAATTGTGGTGCCCACAATTGGACACAGTATTCCAGGTGAGGTCTGACCAAAGAAAAATAGAGAGGCACCATTATTTCCATGCTACAGGATATCCCCCAACTTTGCTCAAAGCAGGAAAAAGTTGGAGTACAGCAGGAAAACCCAGATAAGCACGGCCAGATAAGCAAATGGATTCACTATGTATATATTCCTAAGTTAGGTTAGGTGTTATATACTATTATACAGGGTTAGTCAAAATGAATAGGCCAATATTCATTATTCATTATTGGCCTATTCATTTTGACTAACCCTGTATATAAATGCTCATGTCATAATGAGTACCTTAAAAACAAAAGAACCAATGAATGGAATCGCACCAAATTTGGCAACAAAACGTCTCACTACACAAGGAGGGACCATCACTCAAAAAAATTATGATTTTGTCATTTGGGAGTTGTAGTTGTTGGGATTTATAGTTCACCTATAATCAAAAAGCATTCTGAACTCCACCAACGATGGAATTGAACCAAACTTGGCACACAGGACTCCGATGACCACCAGAAAATACTGAAAGGATTTGGTGGGCATTGACCTTGAATTTTGGAATTGTAGTTCACCTACATCTAGAGAGCATTGTGGACTCAAACATACAGAAAACCCACACACATAGATAGATATCTACATAAAAACTCCAACCATCACCCAAGTCAAAAAAGAAGCACCATTAAAGCCTTGGCAGACGGTGCAAAAAGAATCTGCGAAGCCCACCTCCTCCAAGAGGAACTGAACCACCTCAACTGGGCTCTCCAGGCCAATGGAGACTCCACCTCAGACATCAGAAGAGCTGCAAGACCACCGAGAAGAAGCCACGAGAGTCAAGATGAAGATCCACCCAGAGGAAAAGTGTTCCTGCCAGACATCAAGGGAACCACTGACCGCATAGGGAAGCAGATGAGGAAACACAACATACAAACTATCTACAGACCCACCAAGAAAATCCAACAAATGCTACATTCAGCAAAGGACAAGAGGGATCCTCTCACTTCTGCAGGAGTCTACCGTATACCATGCAGCTGTGGACAAGTCTACATAGGGACCACCAAATGCAGCATTGCCAAAACACGAATCAAGGAACATGAAAGGCACTGCAGACTACTTCAACCAGAGAAGTCAGCCATAGCAGAGCACCTGATGAACCAGCTTGGACACAGCATATTATTTGAGAACACAGAAATGCTGGACCACACCAACAACCACCATGTCAGACTACACAGAGAAGCCATTGAAATCCACAAGCATGTGGACAATTACAACAGAAAGGAAGAAACCATGAAAATGAACAAAATCTGGCTACCAGTATTAAAAAAACTTTAAAATTACAGCAGCAAAACAACAGAGAGGAAACAACCAGGCACATGAAATCACTCTCAACAAAAGATTCCCCCCAGGCACTGCCAAGCCATTGAATGCTAATCAAGGTAATCAGCTGAAACATTCACACCTAGCTCCAGCAGACAAGAGTCCTTTGTCTCACCCTGGTCATTCCACAGATATATAAACCCATTTTTCCTCCTTCCAACAGACCTCACTACCTCTGAGGATGCTTGCCATAGATCAGTGTTTCTCAACCTTCCTAATGCCGCGACCCCTTAATACAGTTCCTCATGTTGTGGTGACCCCCAACCATAACCCTAACATTATGAAGCGCCATGTAAATAATGATCTGCAGGATGTATTTTCATTCACTGGAGCAAATTTGGCACAAATATCCGGTATGCCCAAATTTGAATACTGGTGGGGTTGGCAGGGGGATTGATTTTGTCATTTGGGAGTTGTAGTTGCTGGGATTTATAGTTAACATGTAAGCAAAGAGCATTCTGAACCCCACCAACAATGGAATTGAACCAAAGTTGGTGCAGAAAACTCCCATGATCAACAGAAAATACTGGAAGGGTTTGGTGGGCATTGACCTTGAGTATGGGAGTTGTAGTTCACCTACATCCAGAGAGCACTGTGGGCTCAAACAATGATGGACCTGGACCAAACTTGGCACGGATACTCAATATGCCCAAATGTGAACACTGATGGGGTTTGGGGAAAATAGACTTTGACATTTGGGAGTTGTAGATACTGGGATTTATAGTTCACCTACAATGAAGGAGCGTTCTGAATCCCACCAATGACAGAATTGGGCCAAACTTCCCACACAGAACCCCCATGACCAACAGAAAATACGGTGTTTTCTGATGGTCTTTGGCGACCCCTCCGACACCCCTTCGCGACCCCCTCAGGACCCCCAGGTTGAGAAACACTGCCATAGATGCAGGCGAAACGTCAGGAGAAAAATTGCCTCCAGAACATGGCCGTATAGCCCGGAAAAACCTACAACAACCCACTGATATATATTTTCTGTTCGTCGTGGGAGTTCTGTGTGCCATATTTGGTTCGATTCCATCATTGGTGGAGTTCAGAATGCTCTTTGAACTATGCATCCCAGTAACTACAACTTGCATATGTCAAGGTCTATTTTCTCCCAAGAGCGCCTCAAGAGCGCCCCTGGGCAACATCAAATGTACCTCGAATGCTTACTTTGCGTAATGCTTGAGCCGCCCCTGCCTGTTTCCTTATTGGGACTGCCATCCCCAAAATCCAAGCAGAGTGAGCGATGGGACTTTCCCAAGCTCTGATTCAGAAGTCTTCTTGGCCTCTGATCCAAAGATAAAGGCCAGATAATCAAGCATGGGTCTCCCAGCATCCTTCAGTACAATATGTTTGCTAGGGATAATAGGGATCTTAGGGCGGAAGGGACCCCCAAAGGCCATCTAGTCCAACCCTTTTTCAAGAATTCACAGCTGAAATAGTCTTGGAAAATGATTATCTCTTTGAGGTGGGATTCCCCGGATACGAGGGAGTCAATTCAATAGGATTACTCAGGAAAAGATATAGATTTTTTTCCTGTATGTGACTTGCCCAGAGAGATAATAGAGATCTAAACAGAGATGATCTATATAAACAAAAATGTAATGTTCGTTTGTGGGATTAACAGAACTCAAAAACCACAGGGGCAATTGGCACCAAATTTGGACACGATACACCTAACAACCCAATGTATGTCCTTTACTCAAAATTTTTTGATTTTGTCATTTGGGAGTTGTAGTTGCTGGGATTTATAGTTTACCTACAATCAAAGAGTATTCTGAATTCCACCAAACCAAACATGGCACACAGGACTCCCATGACCAGCAGAAAACACTAGAAGTGTTTGGTGGGCATTGACGTTGAGTTTGGGAGTTGTAGTTCACCTACATACAGAGAGCACTGTGGACTCAAACAACGATGGATCTGGACCAAGCTTGGCACAAATACTCAATATGCCCAAATATAAACACAGATGGAGTTTGGGGGAAATATACCTTGACAGTTGGGAGTTGTAGTCACTGGGATTTATAGTTCACCTATAATCAAAGAGCATTCTGAACTCCACCAACGATGGAATGGAACCAAACTTGGTACACAGGACTTTCATGACCAACAGAAAACACTAGAAGTGTTTGGTGGGCATTGATTTTGAGTCTGGGAGTTGTAGTTCACCTACATACAGAGAGCACTGTGGACTCAAACAACGATGAATTTGGACCAAACTTGGCACGAATACTCAATATGCCCAAATATAAACACAGATGGAGTTTGGGGGAAATATACCTTGACAGTTGGGAGTTGTAGTCACTGGGATTTATAGTTCACCTACAATCAATAAGCATTCTGAACTCCACCAATGATGGAATTGAACCAAATGTGGCACACAGGACTCCATGGCCAACAGAAAATACTAGAAGGATGGGGGGGGGGGGCATTGATCTTGAGTTTGGGAGTTGTAGTTCACCTACATCCAGAGAGCACTGTGGACTCAAACAATGATGAATCTGGACCAAACTTGGCACAATATTCCATATGCCCAAATACGAACACAGATGGAGTTTGGGAGAAATAGACCTTGACATTTGGGAGTTGTAGTCACTGGGATTTATAGTTCACCTACAATCAAAGAGCATTCTGAACCCCACAAATGACAGAATTGGGGCAAACTTCCCACACTTTCTCATTACTTTATTTTCCAGGTCACCAGACTGGGCCACAACAACGCGTGGCAGGGGACGGCTAGTAGATATATAAAACTATAAAATCAGGACAGTAAATAAAGAAAAACACTCAAAAAACAAGGGAATTCCTGACAAGAAACAGGGCCAGCTAACACCTCCCAACAAAGGATTCCCTCCAGGCAGGTAGCAGGCAGGCTTTGAAGCTGCAAGGCCATTCAATGCTAATCAAGCTGGCCAATGGCAATATTCACACTTGCCTCCAACAGACAAGAGTTCTTTTTTTCCACCTTATTTCACAGACTTGTTTAGTTTCCAACAGGCCTCACAACCTCTGCCATAGATGTGGACCATGAAAGCCTTTGACAATACAATCATAATCCTGTTGTATTCCACCTAGACTCACATATTAAATATAAATATAAAATAATTATATATATATATATATATATTTATATATATATTTAATTATATTTTATATTAATTTTATATATATTGTTTATTATATATATATGTATATTTTATATTAATTATATTATCTATATTATCTATTATATTATATTTTATATTATCTATATTATCTATATCATATTCTATTTTATATTTTATATTTAATTTTATATGTTATATACATATATATTATGTATATTTTATATTTAATTTTATATTATCTATTTTATATTATTATATTATTAGATTTTATATTATATTATATATAATATATATTATTGTATATTATATTATATTATATTATTATATTATATTATTATAATCGTATATTATTATATTATATTATATTATATTATAATTTATATATTATATTATATATTATATTATATTATTACTGTATATTATATTATAATATTACATTATTATTGTATATTATATTATAATATTATATTATATATTATAATTGTATAATATTATATATATTATATTATTTATATTATATTATATTATATTATATTATATCTTTCCTCTTTGCATTGGCGGCTTTGTGAGGTGGGCATGGTGGGAAGGTGGTTGCAAGGTAATTATATTTTTATATAATTATATATTATATATATATATTATATATTTAATTATTATATATTATTTATATTATTTTAATTATTATAGTATATTTTATTAATTATCTATAATTATATTATATATATTATATTTTATATTTAATTTTATATTATCTATATTATATTATTATTATATTTTATATTTAATTTTATATTATCTATATTATATTTTATATTTTATATTTAATTTTATATATTATATATATTATATATTATATTTAATTTTATATTATCTATATTATATTTTATATTTATTTTATATAATATATATAATATTATATTTTATAATTAATTTTATATTATCTATATTATATATAGACAATATAAAATCAGCTTATTCTTATATATAATATTGTATTGTATTATGATGCCACAATAGAATACACTACCAACACATTATACTATTGGTATTATATAATATACTATATTGTACTATCTCATAAGATGCAAGAGAAATGAGAGAACATAGACATGATAGAAAGAGATGGTAGAGGCATCCCAAAGGGCAGACTTTGAGAGTACAGTTGTGTAGTGGAAGAGATCCCCTTGCATCATGCCATTGAATAGAATGGGAGTTGAGCACCCGCGGATATGGGGAACCTGGGACCCAACCACCGCGGATACCGAGCCCCACACCCTTCCTCCCTCTCCCTGGATCTGGGGAAAAGGTGAGCCAAGCCTTACCAGGGAGAGCCACGTGGGGAGAGAGTTTTGGGGGGATAGGAGAGGAGAACCCCAGATGGAGAGAGCTCTGGGGCATGTGCAGAGTGCCTTACCTGCTGCTGCTGCTGCTGCTGCTGTGATCCTGGCCGAGGGGCGCCCCTTCCGAAACCCTTGAACATCTCAGCCCTGCCAAAGAGGCTCTCACGCTCCCAAAGAGCTCTTCCAGCCCCCTTGACTGCTTTTTTTTTATGAATGGGGACTCCCGGACCACGTTACTCTCACTCACTTTGGGGGAGGCCGAGATGGGAGAGAAACCAAAACAGCCATTTAGGCTTTCGAGCTTGGGGTTCCCAGCCTCGTCCTTGGGAAAGAGGGAGACCCCGTCCCTGAATCCCCACTCCCTGTCCAAAAGGATCCCTCTCCGATCCACAAATGAGGATCCACTGAACAGCGGTTCCCCCCATTGCCGAGCGCCGCTTGGTTCGTCCCAAAAGATGACTCAGGGGGCGGTGACGTAGATGCCCTTACATGGCCTTGGTTTCTTCCTGTTGGGCTGGCCTGGGAAAGGGTTCCCCTTTGGGCAGGTTTCCCACCTGCGCCTTTGATTGGAAAATAGGTTTCGCTTCACAAGCCTCCTTCCAAGAGGCAGTGGGCGCAATTAATTAATGAATTAATTAATTATTGCAAGTAGACTCTCAGTTAACCGGTATCCAAGCAATGAGCTATACAGGTCAGTAACCTACTCTGTTATGTCTGCTTATGCTATTGAATCAATGGTAGTATAATATATATTTGTGTGTATATGTGTATGTGTATGTATATATGTATGTATGTATATAATTATATACAATCATATATAAATTATGTATATTATATATTATGTGTATGTATATCTATATATTATAATATTATACATTATATATATATATTATATATTATGTATATTATATATTATGTGTATGAATATCTATATATTATAATATTATACATTATATATACAATCATATATAAATTATGTATATTATATATTATGTGTATGTATATCTATATATTATAATATTATACATTATATATATAATATTATATATTATGTATATTATATATTATGTGTATGTATATCTATGGACTGACCTTGAAGGAGCTGGGGGTGGTGACGGCCAACAAGGAGCTCTGGCGTGGGCTGGTCCATAATATTACATATTATGTGTATGTATGTCTATATATATTATATTATATTATATATATTATGTGTATGTATGTCTATATATTATAATATTATACATTATATATACTATATTATATATTATATATATTACATATTATGTGTATGTCTATATATATTATATTATATATATTATGTGTATGTATGTCTATATATATTATATTATATATATTATGTGTATGTATGTCTATATATTATATTATATATATTATGTGTATGTATGTCTATATATATTATATTATATATTACATATACAATATTATATATAATGTATACTATATATATTACATGTATGTATGTCTATATATAAAATAATATTATATATAATATATACAATATTTTATATATATATATAATGTGTATGTATGTCTATATATATATTATAATATTATGATGTAATGCAATATAATACAAATACTAATAATATGATATTATAATTATCATAGTAATATTAGTAATATTACTAATATGACAATATAATGGTATAGTACAATATAGTAATATTTAATACCGATATTGTACTATGCTAATAATATAAWATATTGTATTTATATATATCTTGTAAGCTCTGAGTTCCCTTAATGTCGTGAATAAATAAATCATATATATATATATATATATATATATACATACACACACACACACACACACACACACWCWCTCTCTCTCTCACACACACACACWCACACACACACAAATTATGAAAATAGACCTAACATATTAGACTCTCAGTTAACTGGCACTCATGGGTTTTGGGAGATGCTGGATAAATGCCATTTCTGGTTGCTTGAGAGTTACTATAAAATGGCCCTAATATCACAGACTCCCAGTTAACCGGCACCCATGGGTTTTGGTAGATGCTGGATAAATGTCATTTCTGGTTATTTGAGAGTTACTATGAAAAATAGACTTAACAGACTCTCAGTTAACCAGCACCTATGGGTTTTGGTAGATGCTGGATAAATGTCATTTCTGGTTAATTGAGAGTTACTATGAAAATAGACTTATAACAGACTCTCAGTTAACCAGCACCTATGGGTTTTGGTAGATGCTGGATAAATGTCATTTCTGGTTAATTGAGAGTTACTATGAAAATAGACTTATAACAGACTCTCAGTTAACCAGCACCTATGGGTTTTGGTAGATGCTGGATAAATGTCATTTCTGGTTACTTGAAAGTTACTATGAAAATAGACCTAACATATTAGACTCTCAGTTAACTGGTGCCCATGGGTTTTGGGAAATGCCAGATAAATGTCATTTCTGGTTACTTGAGAGTTACTATGAAAATAGACCTAACATATTAGACTCTCAGTTAACTGGTGCCCATGGGTTTTGGGAAATGCCAGATAAATGTCATTTCTGGTTGCTTGAGAGTTACTATAAAATGGATCTAATATCGCAGGCTCCCAGTTAACCGGCACCCATGGGTTTTGGTAGATGCCAGATAAATGTCTTTTCTGGTTGCTTGAGAGTTGCTATGAAAAGTAGGCCAAATTCCCCAGTTACTCCATGCCGAGAGACACGTGTTCGTCCTGCCGGCCTGATCCAGATGGCATTCAGGAGGATGACTCACAAACTCGTGGGCCGGCAAGGCAGGGAAATCCCCTATTTTCCCCCTTTGGAGCCCAACCAAGGCGGGGAAACCTCGACCGTGAAACTCACTCTCACCCAGGGAAGCCAGCATCGAACTGCATCAACTAGTCAGTGCAGAAAGAGTGCGTCTGTACGCTGAATGCAGTTTGACTGAGCATGTACAGAGTGACGAGAGCCATGTTTAAATATTAGGAAGGATATTTCATTGAGCATTGAGGTTAATCAGAGGCTGCATGGCCATCTGTCGGGAGGGCTTTGATGGTGTCTTTCTTCCTGGACTGGATGGCCCTTGGGGTCTCTTCCAACTCTAATATTCTATCATCATTATATTTGATCATAATTATAATTATGGAGTATCATCTGGAGGTTATTCAGCAGAGGCTGGATGGCCATCTGTCGGGAGGGCTTTGATGGTGTCTTTCTTCCTGGACTGGATGGCCCTTGGGGTCTCTTCCAACTCTAGTATTCTATCGTCATCTTCATCGTCATATTTGATCATAATTATATTGATGGAGACACCTCTGGAGGTGTTTCAGCACAGGCTGGATGACCATCTGTCAAGAGGGGGTTAAGTGTGTCTTCCTTCCTGGTAGAAGGGAGTTGAACTGGATGGCCATTAGGATCTCTTCCGTCTTTACGATTCATTAATAATAATCTTTGATGATGGTGGAATCTCCCTCTCTGGAGGTTTTTCAGCAGAGGGTGATTGGCCATCTGTTGGGAGAGCTTTTATTGTGTCTTCCTTCCTGGAAGAATGAGGTTGGACTGCATGGTCCTTGGGATCTCTTCTAATTCTAGCATTTTATCCTCCTCCTCCTCATCATCATCACCATATTTGACCATAATTATAATCATGGAGTCTCCTCTGGAGGTTTCGCAGCAGAGGCTGGATGGCTATCTGTCAGGAGGGCTTTTATTGTGTCTTCCTTCCTGGCAAAATGGACCGGATGGCCCTTGGGATCTCTTCCATCTCTATGATTCAATAATAATAATAATAATAATCTTTGATTATTATGGAATCTCCTTCTCTGGAGGTTTTAAAGCAGAGGCTGGATGGCCATCTGTTAGGAGGACTTTGATGGTGTCTTCCTGCCTAGCAGAATGGGGTTGGACTGGATGGTTCATGGGGTCTCTTCCAACTCTAGAATTTTATCATTGTTGTATTTGATCATAGTTATAATGATAGAGTCTCTTCTGGAGGTTATTCAGCAGAGGCTGGATGGCCATCTGTTGGGAGGGCTCTGATTGTGTCTTTGATGGTGATGGTCTTGCAGAATGGGGTTGGATGGTCCTCTGGATCTCGTCATCATATTTGATCATAATTATAATGACAGAGTCTCTTCTGGATGTTATTCAGCAGAGGCTGGATGGTCATCTATTGGGAGGGCTTTGATGGTGTCTTCCTGCCTAGCAGAATGGGGTTGGACTGGATGGTCCTTTGGATCTCATCATCATATTTGATCATAATTATAATGACAGAGTCTCTTCTGGAGGTTATTCAGCAGAGGCTGGATGGCCATCTGTTGGGGGGGCTTTGATGGTGTCTTCCAGTCTCACAGAATGGGGTTGGACTGGATGGTCCTTTGGATCTCATCATCATATTTGATCATAATTATAATGACAGAGTCTCTTCTGGAGGTTATTCAGCAGAGGCTGGATGGCCATCTGTTGGGGGGGCTTTGATGGTGTCTTCCAGTCTCACAGAATGGGGTTGGACTGGATGGTCCTTTGGATCTCATCATCATATTTGATCATAATTATAATGATAGAGTCTCTTCTGGAGGTTATTCAGCAGAGGCTGGATGGCCATCTGTTGGGGGGGCTTTGATGGTGTCTTCCGGTCTCACAGAATGGGGTTGGACTGGATGGTTCATGGGGTCTCTTCCAACTCTAGAATTCTATCATCGTCATATTTGATCATAGTTATAATGACAGAGTCTCTTCTGGAGGTTATTCAGCAGAGGCTGGATGGCCATCTGTTGGGGGGGCTTTGATGGTGTCTTCCAGTCTCACAGAATGGGGTTGGACTGGATGGTCCTTTGGATCTCATCATCATATTTGATCATAATTATAATGACAGAGTCTCTTCTGGAGGTTATTCAGCAGAGGCTGGATGGCCATCTGTTGGGGGGGCTTTGATGGTGTCTTCCAGTCTCACAGAATGGGGTTGGACTGGATGGTCCTTTGGATCTCATCATCATATTTGATCATAATTATAATGACAGAGTCTCTTCTGGAGGTTATTCAGCAGAGGCTGGATGGCCATCTGTTGGGGGGGCTTTGATGGTGTCTTCCGGTCTCACAGAATGGGGTTGGACTGGATGGTTCATGGGGTCTCTTCCAACTCTAGAATTCTATCATCGTCATATTTGATCATAGTTATAATGACAGAGTCTCTTCTGGAGGTTATTCAGCAGAGGCTGGATGGCCATCTGTTGGGGGGGCTTTGATGGTGTCTTCCGGTCTCACAGAATGGGGTTGGACTGGATGGTCCTTTGGATCTCATCATCATATTTGATCATAATTATAATGACAGAGTCTCTTCTGGAGGTTATTCAGCAGAGGCTGGATGGCCATCTGTTGGGGGGGCTTTGATGGTGTCTTCCAGTCTCACAGAATGGGGTTGGACTGGATGGTCCTTTGGATCTCATCATCATATTTGATCATAATTATAATGACAGAGTCTCTTCTGGAGGTTATTCAGCAGAGGCTGGATGGCCATCTGTTGGGGGGGCTTTGATGGTGTCTTCCAGTCTCACAGAATGGGGTTGGACTGGATGGTCCTTTGGATCTCATCATCATATTTGATCATAATTATAATGACAGAGTCTCTTCTGGAGGTTATTCAGCAGAGGCTGGATGGCCATCTGTTGGGGGGGCTTTGATGGTGTCTTCCGGTCTCACAGAATGGGGTTGGACTGGATGGTCCTTTGGATCTCATCATCATATTTGATCATAATTATAATGACAGAGTCTCTTCTGGAGGTTATTCAGCAGAGGCTGGATGGCCATCTGTTGGGGGGGCTTTGATGGTGTCTTCTGGTCTCACAGAATGGGGTTGGACTGGATGGTTCATGGGGTCTCTTCCAACTCTAGAATTCTATCATCGTCATATTTGATCATAGTTATAATGATAGAGTCTCTTCTGGAGGTTATTCAGCAGAAGCTGAATGGCCATCTGTTGGGAAGGCTTTGATGGTGTCTTTCTGCCTGGCTGGGAGTTGGTCTGCATAGCTTTTGGTGTTCTCTTCCAAACTCTAGGATCCTCCGAAGGGTTTCTTCCTGCCCTCCGAGGCCTTGGGGACAAGCCAGCTCTCGGCAGGCTGACTCCCCATCCTTGAAGGTGAGTCACCCACGTTCTCTACGGGTGTCTCACATCCTGCCAAGTTCCCAAGCGAAGGGACTTTTCAGGTTTAACCCTTGGAGAGCCAGGCAGGGCCCTTCCCTACCTTCAATCTCCCCGATTGGGTTGTGCGATGGAAGGGTTGGAGGGATGAAGACTACAACAAACGGGGCTTTCAAGTCATCTATAGAAATAAAAAGGTAATGTTCGTTTGTGGGATTAACATAACTCAAAAACCACTGGACAAATTGACACCAAATTAGGAAACAAGACACCTAACAGTCCAATGACTGTCCATCACCCATAAACACACACACACACACACAAAACCCCAGCGGAAAAGACTTAAAAACCCAAAACATACACCGTATATACATATACACATACACTCATATACATATGAACATGCACACATTCATACACACATACGTATATATATATATGCACAAACACACACAAATATACACACATACACACATATATACATATACACATGCACACATATACATATCCACATACATACATATACACAATATGCATATACACATATAAACACACAAATACACAAATAAATACACACATATATATGCACACACATACATACATACACCGTATATACATATACACATACACTCATATACATATGCACATGCACACATTCATACACACACACACGTGTGTATATATATGCACAAACACATACAAAGATACACATATACACACATACATATATATATACACACAAATATGCATATAGACAAGCACACACATATACACAATATGCATATACACATATAAACACACAAATACACAAATATATACACACATATATATACACACATACATACAACGTATATACATATACACATACACTCATATACATATGCATATGTACACATTCATACACACACACGTATATATATATATATGCACACACACAAATCTACACACATACACACATACATATATACATATACACATGCACTCATATACATATGAACATGCACACATTCATACACACATACGTATATATATATATGCACAAACACACACAAATATACACACATACATATATACATATACACATGCACACATATACATATCCACATACATACATATACACAATATGCATATACACATATAAACACACAAATACACAAATAAATACACACATATATATGCACACACATACATACATACACCGTATATACATATACACATACACTCATATACATATACACATGCACACATTCATACACACACACACGTGTGTATATATATGCACAAACACATACAAAGATACACATATACACACATACATATATATATACACACAAATATGCATATAGACAAGCACACACATATACACAATATGCATATACACATATAAACACACAAATACACAAATATATACACACATATATATACACACATACATACAACGTATATACATATACACATACACTCATATACATATGCATATGTACACATTCATACACACACACGTATATATATATATATGCACACACACAAATCTACACACATACACACATACATATATACATATACACATGCACACACATATACATATCCACATACATACATATATATATGCATATAGACAAGCACACACATATACACAATATGCATATACACATATAAACACACAAATATATACACAAATATATACATACACACATATACATACATATACACATACACTCATATACATATGCACATGCACACATTCATACACACACACGTATATATATATATATATATGCACAAACACACACAAATATACACATATACACACATACATATATACATATACACATGCACACACATAAATATATCCACATACATACATATATATATGCATATAGACAAGCACACACATATACACAATATGCATATACACATATAAAAACACAAATACACACATATATATGCACACACATACATACACCGTATATACCTATACACATATACTCATATACATATGCACATGCACACATTCACACACAGAGATGTATATATATATCCACAAACACACACAAATATACACATATACACACATACATATACAGACACACATATACATATACACAGGCACATATACATGCACACATACATATATACATATACACATGCACACACATATACATATCCACATACATACATATATACACACAAATATGCTTATAGACAAGCACACACATATACACAATATGCATATACACATATAAACACGCAAATACACAAATATATACACACATATATGTATGCACGCACACACACACATATATATACTGTCCCCTGCCACGCGTTGCTGTGGCCCAGTCTGTGTATATGTGTTTTGTGTGTGTTTATATGCGTATATGTATGCGTATATATATATATATATATGTTTGTGTATATATGTGTTTTTGTGCATGCATTGTGATGAATTTTTTTGTATTTTGGCTTTTAAAGTCTCATCTGCTGTGCTTTTCAGTGTTTTTATAAATGATGGTCACTGGTTGGCTTCCGGCCAAAATGGAACTGTACAGGAGAGTCTACTGAACAAGCCAGTACCTGCTGCATCTGTTGAGGAGTTACGGAGGCGGAGGCATTACTTTTCACTGTAACAACACAACTGTTCAATGCTAAGGCTTCCCACCAAAAGGGAACTGTAGAGGAGAGTCTACTGAACAAGCCAGTACCTGCCGCATCTGTTGAGGAGTTACAGAGGCGGAGGCATTACTTTTCACTTTAACAACACAACCGTTCAATGCTAAGGCTTCCCACCAAAAATGGAACTGTAGAGGAGAGTCTACTGAACAAGCCAGTACCTGCTGCATACCAGTACTGCCATCTGTTGAGGAGTTACGAAGGTGGAGGCATTACTTTTCACTTTAACAACACAACCGTTCAATGCTAAGGCTTCCCAACAAGGGAACTGTAGAGGAGAGTCTACTGAACAAGCCAGTACCTGCCGCATCTGTTGAGGAGTTAGGAAGGTGGAGGCATTACTTTTCACTTTCCCAACACAACCATTCAATGCTAAGGCTTCCCACCAAAATGGAACTGTAGAGGAGAGTCTACTGAACAAGCCAGTACCTGCCGCATACCAGTACTTCCATCTGTTGAGGAGTTACGGAGGCGGAGGCATTACTTTTCACTTTAACAACACAACCATTCAATGCTAAGGCTTCCTGGTAAAATGGAACTGTAGAGGAGAGTCTACTGAACAAGCCAGTACCTGCCGCATACCAGTACTGCCATCTGTTGAGGAGTTACGAGGCGGAGGCATTACTTTTCACTTTAACAACACAACCATTCAATGCTAAGGCTTCCTGTCAAAATGGAACTGTAGAGGAGAGTCTACTGAACAAGCCAGTACCTGCTGCATACCAGTACTGCCATCTGTTGAGTTACGTTTCATTGTACTATGTACTATGGGTCCGTACAATGGAATGCTGTGATCTGTGGTTTGGGGAGACACGATCCCTCCTTGTCAGGGAAGGCCTCGTAAAGCTACAACTCCCAGGACTCCCTAGTATTGAGCCTTGGTAGTTGAAAGTGATCTCGAACTGCATCAGTTCTCCAGTGGAGATGCACCCCTTTCTCCGTCCTCTGATCTCTTGGTCAGGAAGGAGGAAAGGAAGGAGGTCTGGGCCCAGATCCAAACCACATCCTTCAAACGTGAGTGAGCCGACTCCGAGAGGAAGAGTGATTCAGCCGAAAAGTATAACAGAGCCTCACTTTTTCTGCCAACTTGTTAGGGACGGTTCGGCTCGCGGCCTTTCGTTTCGCGGCTGGCTCGAGTCTTGCCGCCCCAGTTCAAACCAATGGGGTGGGACCTGGGAAGTGGAGGGAACGGGGCCTTTTTGGTGACTCAGAGAGAGGGAAGGGATTGCCAAAAGTGGGGCTGACTCAGAGGACGGGCATGGAGGAACTGGCTCAGGTGCCAAAGGGATGAGGAACCACAAGGGGATGCTGAGTCACCGGGGAGCGGGCACAACCCCTACTCGGATCCAGGCTTTACTTTCCCCAAAACCTAGATATTATATAATTTATAATTAATATATTAATTATATATATTAATATACTTATTTTTTTTTCCCCTGACATAAAGTCCAGAGTCCATAATGTCCGACTCTGGAGGTTCGTGCTCATCTCCATTTCTAAGCCGAAGAGCCAGCATTGTCCGTAGACACCTCCAAGGTCATGTGGCCGGCATGACTGCATGGAGCGCCGTTACCTTCCCGCCGGAGCAGTACCTATTGATCTACTCACATTTGCATGTTTTCGAACTGCTAGGTTGGCAGAAGCTAGGGCTGACAGCAGAAGCTCACGCCGCTCCCCGTGAACCTGTGACCTTTCGATCAACAAGTTCAGCAGCTCAGCGTTTAACCCACTGTGCCACCGGGGGCTCCAGATCTTACATCTATAGGTAAAGGTAAAGGTTCCCCTGACATTAAGTCCAGTCAGTCTGACTCTGGGGTGTGGTGCTCATCGCCATTTCTAAGCCGAAGAGCTGCGTTGTCCGTAGACACCTCCAAGGTCATGTGGCCGGCATGCTTGCATGGAGCGCTTATATATATATATATAATTCAAACTTATATGCCGCCACTCCCCTGGGGCTCGGAGCGGCTTACAAGAACAGGCTAAAATCTAACACAATTTAAAAACAGTTTAAAACAATTTAAAAACAATTTAAAAACAACAATATCAAAGGTCAAAGGCATATATTACATATTAATATATGTATTAATATATTAATACATATATTAATATGTAATATTAATATAGTAATATTAATTAATGTATATAAAATGAATATATTAATTGTAATTGAGAATTAATATATTAAATATACAATTTAATACATTTATTGAAATATATTTTAAATATATATTTTATAGGGGGAAACTAGAAATATTTTATCAAGGGGGAAACTAGAAATATTTATTTAATTTTTCATTTATATATATATATATTAATATATTAATACA